CGTGGCTGGAAATGGCAGGATTGCAGATCTTAGATCAGATCCTTTGGTTATGGTATTATTTAGCCTGTCAGTTGCATATTCCTTCAGCTGTTTGGCACTTGATGTTTTCTAAAATGATACTGCAAGTAGAGGCAATTGCTAGTTCAAACTTAGGTTAACTTGTAGGTTGAGTTGGTAGTATGGAAGGCAAATGCAATGTTGGCATTTATTTCAAGAGGACTAGAATATAAAAGAAGGGATGTACTCCTGGGGCTTTATACCACATTTAGAATATTGAGTAATTTTGGACCCCTTACCTCAGGAAGGATGTACTGGCCCTGGAGTGGGTCCAGAGGAGGTTCACGAGAATGATCTCAGGAATGAAAGGCTTAAAATATGAGGAACGTTTGAGGACTCTGAGTCTATACTCGATGGAGTTTAGAAGGATGAGGAGACATCTAATTGAAACTTGCAGAATGCTGAAAGGCCTGGATAGAGTGGATGTTGGGAAGATATTTCCATTAGCAGGAGAGACTAGGACCCGAGGGCACAGCCTTAGAATAAAGGGAAGACCCTTTAGAACGGAGATGAGGAGAAACTTCTTAAGCCAGAGAGTGGTGAATCGATGGACTTCATTTCCCCAGAAGGCTACGGAGGCCAGGTCATTCTGTATATTTAAGACAGAGATAGATAGACTCTTGTCTGTTAAAGGGATCAAAGGTTACGGGGAGAAGGTAGGAGAATGTGGTTGAGGAACTTATCAGCCATGACTGAATGGTGGAGCAGACTCCCTGGGCCGAATAACCTAACTTCTCCTTCTATGTCTTATGGTCTAATGGTCAAACAAGGCAATAGCTCCATTCGACAAGTGTATGTATGGGAAACATCTCTCTGAAAGGCTGTTTCACTGATTGCAATTTGAGTCAAATATTTATCCATCACTCTGTCTCATTGGTTACCTAGGCTTCTCGAGCACCATGGGGTTACAGGATAGGTGCAATGATTCCAGAATTTCACACCTGTAACACAAGTCTCTAGTTGGTTCACTGTAAGCTTAACACTCCTATCTCAGTGTGCATTCTTCAGTACTGGGTCCCTATGTTCCGGTAATGGAGTTCATGCCGGTGTACATTTCACAGCGTGGCATTCTTGGTGTTCCAGACAGAACCTCACACCACCCAGCCAAGGCAAACATCCCATCCCTAGGTTAAACAATCCTTTTGACTCTACAATAACAATGGGGTCCCTTTTCTTATTGTGTCACAGAGAAATTTCCCCTGACCTGTTTATCACCTAGCCTTTCACTACATTATGTTGGGTCCTAGCATTTGCAGGTATTCCAATCATGATGTCCCTTTTTGTATTAGCGTGATTATCTTTCTTCTTATTCTGTTTACTGTTACTAATTTGGCTCCAGTGTTAAATGTTTCAATTGCAATGTAAGTATTCTAGTTCTCCTACCCTGTTGTCAGTATCCTCAGATATGTGACTCCTCATATTGAATATTAACTTCTATATCTCCTCTTCCTGCTTCAACAGCATTCAAGTAGTCCTGTGTTGTACCTGCACCACGTTGACACCTCAATTTTAAGTATGTCCACTTTTGCTCCTGGCATGCCCTCCTGCACTCTTCACTGAGCCAGGATTTATCTCCTTGCTTGAAAGTAATGGTAGAGTTAGGGAAATGCCAGACTATGAAGTTACAGAAACCCTGCAGGTCTGGCAGTATCTGTAGAGAGAGAAATAGAGTTAATTTTTCGAGTGCAGTGATCCTTTGAAGGAAACCGATTTTCTCCAGCATCTTATGTTCTTGTTTCAAGTTGCAGATTGTGGTTGAATACAGTTCTCCTGTTGCTAAAGGCCCACAGCACCTCATGGTTGCTCAGTTTTGAGTTGCTAGATCTGTTCGGTCTGTTCCGTTTTAGCATGGTTTTACCACTCAACGAGATGTGAAAGCAGACCTTTGTCTCCACAGCAACTGTATGGTAATCACTCCTACTAATATTGTCATAGACAGATCCATCTGCAAGAGGTAAATTGGTGAAGATGTGGTCAAGTAAGGGTTTCCTTCTAATATAAGTCCAAAATGTGAAATTTAACTCAGCACTACGTTGCAGTCTCAAGCTACTTTCAATCTACTACTAATAAACCAAGCTGATATGTATGATGCATTAAGTGCTGAGGTGCTACAAGTCATCTCAATAACTTGCTTAATCTCAGTGCAGTCACTTGATATCTCCCACACACACCTGTTTGTCTTTCTCCTCATAATTATTTTCAGGTTTTAAAAGTGTTCCTCTGATCCTATGTTGAGACCAGGCAGACAAGACATCCAAAAATAAATCTGTGTTTAAAAACTCTGCTGAGATGCGCCTATGGGCATAAGAGATCTGATCATCTGAGTTACTAGAGTTGGGTGTCTATGTGGAGCTTGCACGTTCTCCCTGTGTCAGGTTGGGTTTCTGCTGGGGGCTCTGGTTTCCTTCCATAGTCCAAAGATGTGCAGGATAGATTGATTGGCCATGCTGAATTGCCCCATAGTGTCCAAGGATTTGTAGGCTAGGTGGATTAGCTATGGTAAATGCAGAGTTACCAGGATGAGGTGAAGGGAGGATCTGGGTGGGATGCTGTATGGAGGGTTGATGCAGACTTGACGGGCCAAATGGCCTCGATCTGCACTGTAGGGATTCTTTTGATTCTATAGCTTTGGTACAAAAAGTGACCTGAACACTGATGGCACACTGTTACTGGCTCCTGACAGATTTTGTAAACAAACAATAAATGTGCCCACTTTAAATGGTTCTCTTTATTAAGAATATTGCATTATGTTCTTATTTTTAATCTCCAGAGTATTTGAATACTTTGCATTCTTACAGTTTCACCATTTGAAGAGAGAAATTCATAATGCCTCTTCTTTAGGATTATTTCCTTCTGTGGCAACAAAAACCAAAGAGTGAATTAATTACTGGTTCTGTGATGCCGTATGATAACCTTAAAATTTGAATGCACCTTCAAACTGTATGTAGCCATACAGTTAATTTGCCAGTTTTAGCCATGTTACTGTCTGGAACCATTCTAATGAGGCACTGTGCTTCCCTAGAGACAAAATGAAAATCGTACTTTTCTCCAACAAATGATTAGGGCTGACGCTTCATCTAGCTATATCATTTTAAGCTGCAGAGAATTGCACTTCTGAGAGTCAAAACCACCCCCTATCCTTGGATCACTCTTAACAATAAAAATAACCATTGGTTCATTTTCTCCAATGCCAAACATCTATCTTGCATCTTTGCTCCCACCTCTTCAAACTCTAGGCTTCTACCTTTTCCTGCTCAAAGGTAGGAAAACCTGATCATTATTATGCTCTTTCCCTAGTCCTTCCCATGTTAATGGTGTGGCATATGCCAAGAGTGAACCTAATTTGAGCATTACATACATAAGTGTAGGTCTTTCCTGTACCATGCAATGAGAGAAAACTGATTTAATTGAATTTATAAATTATTTTTCAATTACGAAGTTTAATACCCTTTGCTCTAAATGCAACGATTGCTGGCAACGGAAGAAAACAAAACCCTCCATCATTCCCAACTGTACTGATATTGTTGGGGAAGAAAAGAGCATTGCTTTTGTTGTTCATTTTTCTTGCCCTTCACCGATTCTGAATTGGCCATACACTTGAATCAGAGAAACACTTTAACAGCTCTTTACACCTTAAGCTTTTATTCTCTGCAATATCCTTAGATGTGCCATCTTATCAAATGCTTTCTGAATATATAAGTACAACACATCCACTGGTTCTCCTTTATCTACATTATTCCCTCAAAGAACACCAATAGATTTGTTAAACATGGTATTCCTTTCAAAAAAATTATGTTGACCCTGCTTGATTACCTAGAATTTACCTAAGTACTTAGTGATAACTTCTTCAATAATAGCTTTGAACATTTTCCCTGTGACAGATGTTAAGCTAACTGATCTGCAGTTTCCTGCTTTCTGTCACACTCTGTTTTTGAATAGAAGAGTCTTTATTTTTCCCTCGAATGGGAACATCCCCGAATTAAGGGAATCTTGGAAAATTACAACTAATGCATCAACTATCTTGCTAGCCACATCTTTTAAGATCATAGGTTGAAGTCTGTTAGGTCCATGGCAATTGTCCGCCTGTAGCTAGAACAATTTAAACAGTACCACTTCACCGGTTTTCCTGAGATATTCTCTCTCTTCCATTTCCTGATTTATTGCAACTTTTCAGATATTATTGTCTCCTCTGTCATAAAGACTGATGCAAAAGAACTATTCAGTTCATCTGCCATTTTCTGTTCTTTCATTACTAACTCTCCAGTCTCATTATTTATTGGACAAATACTCACTTTGTTAGCTCTTTTTAAAACAGTTATCAAAACTCTTGCCATCTGTTTTACAGTGCATTCCTTACACTACTTGGTGAGTGAAAAAGCTTTTCCTCAGATCTCTCTTGCCTCTTTTGCAGTCACTTTTTAAATCTAACCCTTTCGTTCTCATTCCTCTTTACATGAGGAAAAAGTTTCACCTTATCTATTCTATTCTGTCCCCTCATGATCTTGAACAGCTGTATCTGACCTCCTGTTAGGTGCCTCCACTCCAAGGTGTACAGTCCCACCTTGTTCAATCTATCCTCCTAATTTAAATTTGTCATCCCTGGAACCATTCTTACAAGTTGCTTCTACATACGCCTATGTACAGGGCTATTACAGAATTCTCAGACTGGCACATATGTGGTCATGTTTAAGTTGGAAACTTAGAGCTCAAACAAAGTGACTTCAAATAACAACCCTAAATCAACAATATTTCCTGGTTTGTCGTTTGACTTTTCTCTTTTGCAGTTAAAAATGATAGTATGACTGAAATACCTGATGAACAGTATGATTTAAATGCTACTTGGCTACTTTGATACAAAGGTGCTTTGCTCTCAGATTCTGTGTGCATACATATAGTATGGGCTATTTGGTAAACCTGTTAACTGTTTTGTTTTTCTTTTACAGTTACTGAGAAAGAAGTCCAACAGTGGTAAGTCCAGTGTTCCTATATTTTTAAAAAGGGAAAAATGTTTTCTATTGAATACCATCTAATTGAATGACAGAGTATTTCAATGGGCTGAATGGTCTACTCCGGTTTCTATGTACAAATCCAATCAGAATGCCTCCTTGGTAAGCTACACCATATTAGGAAGATCTCCGGTTTTATAACTTGATTGGCTCAGATTACTTAGCATAGCACAGTGTGATGGTAGGAGTACTTTAAATGGTAACCCAGGAAAAATCAGCCAGTGTTTCTTCCGCTGAATACTGTCAGCCGCTGAAATGTAATAATCCAAAATGTCATTTATGTTGCTACCTAGAGGTTCCTTCACTCTGAGATGTTAATTAATTCAGTCTATTTGGCATGATGGTACAGTGGTTCACACTTTTACCTCACAGCTGGGTACTCTGGGTGCCTCCCACAGTCCCAAGATGTGTAGGTTAGGTGGATTAGCCATGCTAAACTGCCCGGTAGTGTCCAGGGATGTATAGGCTAGGTGGATTAGCTGTTGACAAATGTGGGCCTGAAATTTTTGGGAGGTGTGGAGGATGTTGATCTGGACGGGATACACTTCAGAGGGTCAGCGCAGACTCCATGGGCTGAATGGCCTCTATCTGCACTGAAGAATTTCTATGAATCTATCTCATTGTACAATGCCTGGTCTTTTATAACCTGCTTTCTGGTTCCAGAACATGCTGCTAGCAGGAACTAGGGAGGAAGGGGAACATGTTAGTGTTTGGTTGCAAAGCAACAAAGTTGAATATTGTTCTAACGGCATCTGGCTGATATCAATTTAATCTAAAATGGATACTATAATGATGTACCAGGAAATATCTCACATTTTGTCTGTCTCAAATCTGTTTCCAGTGAGCCTGGGTCTACTCCATGACATTTTGTTGCCCCATATTTGAGAAAAGTTGTCAATTTCATCATTGCTAGAAAAAAAATGACATTTATAAAGAAAGGATGTTGTTCTTCAGTTGAGTTCCAGCATTTTTCAGCAAGTGTGCTGCATCTGATTTCACTGGGACCTTTCTAGAGAATAAAAGTCCAAAGTTAACATCTTTCACCATTGATGATCACAAAAATAAATTAGAACTTCATACAGAGCTTTTCATACCTGTTTCGATGTTACATGTTTTGATACGACTCTTGGTAAGAACAGATTCAGAAAACTAACTTAAGATAACAATTTAGTTTTTATAATATTTATTTTCCAAGGTTAAGCCTTAGGACATTGGTAGTATGTTATCTTTGATAGGATATCCAAATTACAAATGGTGCCATTTGAACTAATGAGTAATTGGAAGTAGTATTTAGTTAGACTGGTAAATACAGTTGGTCCTGTTGTCATCTGATGCAAATACTTCATATTCTAGGCATCCAGTTAATGCTATGGCAAATGAACAGCTTCAGGAGCTTTACATGTTGTAGACTTGAGAAGGAAGTTGTTGGGAAATCGATGAGGGAAAGAAATGCAGGGCAAGTACAGGGAAGGATTTGGAGAGAAATGTCTAGATTGGCCATTGCTGCTGTAAGAAACAGCCATGTTTGTATACGATTACTGTTTGAGAGAGCAATGGAGCTTATGTTTCCTTTTAACTTGCTCATTTTGCTAAGTTCTATTGATGAAGAAAAATACTTCGCATGTCAGACCGTGATGAAGTGAAGGCATCAACTGATCGATGTGGATGAGGACACTTCGGTTAATATTTTAGAAGATTAATGCAGGGATAATCAGATTTGATTAGCTCTGCCATCAGTTGACATTTAATTTCAAACTGTTCACGCATTACATTATTATTGTTTGGTGCAGTGGCACAAGTGTTCTTGCTGACTTCTAAATATTGAGATGGCATTTTCATCTTCTGACTAAAATTTAGAAAAATTGTATTTTTTAATTTAAAAAAAAAGTCTCAGTTCAGTCCATTTATCAGAATTTATAAATCTTTGCTAAGTTTTCCTGCCTTTCTATGCACTTATTTTGATTTTATAGCAGAGTATTTTGGCAGTCAGTTTTTTTTTGGACAAAGCTTTTGATTGGTTCATGTTTTCTTGTCAGAGTAGTGTGTGCGTTGGTGCTTCCAACATTTATAATAAAATGCCAGACGTGGGTTTAAAATTCTTCACATTCAGTTGGATGTTCCCGGTAAAAGAGTAGAATTGCTTGCAGCAGTTTTCCCAAATGGGTTAATTGGTTTAGTCAAGCAAGTAGCTTCAACTATGCAAGTTAAGATATTCTGGAGCCATTATCTCTACTGGATAGATTTTTTAAAATTCAACTTGTGCAGAGATTTTATTATACACGTCTGGAGCAGGCGGGACTTGAACCTGGGTCTCTGGCTCAGAGGTAGGGACACCACACTGTGTCACAAGGGCCCTACATAAGCTGATCCAAGACGGTATTGTGCTAGGAGAAAGTTGTTTTGGTGGCAAAGAGTATCAGCCAAGGTTTCTGTAACTGCTTTTTTAAAAATCTGGTAGCCTGTGCTTGGAGTTGAAAGTATGTGGAAATTGGTGGCTATGATACCCTTTATGATTTAACATAATGTTTGTATTCTGAATATTTATAAATAAAATACGATAGCCTTGAATTGTAAATAAAAACCGAAAGAACTGCGATGATGTAAATCAGGAATAAAACCAAAAGTTGCTGGAAAAGGTTAGCAGGTCTGGCAGCATCCGTGAAGAAGAAAATCGGAGTTAACGTTTCGGGTTTGGTGATCTTTCCTCTGATTTAACTGTTTGGTATTTTCTTCACAGATGCTGCCAGACCTGCAGCAACTTCTGTTTTTGTTTGTCTTGAATTGTGTTGTTTTTGTAGAATGGAACCCTTTTAGTAATGTGCCATTGTGTCGTTAAAAGTCGTGGTCTGATCATCTTGCCTGTAGAAATAAACTGAAGTGCATTAAAGATTTTTGCAGCCAATACAAAATATAACGCGTTAACTGGCATAACTGATGCGAACTTGAAAAGCAATGGTTTATTGTAGGGATGTGCTCAGTAGTTTGTGTTGCATTGAACAGAAGGAGAGAATATGTGATACTTGTCAAAGAATTTATTAAGAAGTGTAACAGTAAGAAAACAAATGACCTGAATGATGCTTTTCTATGTTTCATTTAATTTGCAGTTGAGTATTTTGAGGTGTTGAAATGAAAGTTGGATACTCATCACTACTGTTTAGTGATACCGAGGAATAGGAAATTTAACATGATGTTGTTGAAACAATTTAGTTATTTTTGCTTACAAAGAAGTTTGTTTCCCCTGAACTGCTGGCAACATTTTGGGAAGAAAGACATATTTTATTGTAACTTCAGAGAGCAACATCCTAATCTTAATCCTGTGACAGAAACTGTGAACAGAACCTTTTTCTAAATACTTGTAACTCTCAGTCAGAGGTTGCAGTCAGATCTTAGGAGGGAGAAATGTTTAAAAAAAGGTCTTAATGTATTTTTTCTGTGAGGATAACTCCAGATTCGGAGATAACTGCAATGTTATTCTGGTTCAAAAAGCTCTTCAACAGAATGCTGAATCATGTACTGTTAAAAAATGATTTTGTTGCCTAACTTTCAAACCAGCTTTGTGGTTAAGAATTTCCAGCAACCTCCTAGCCTCTGTCAATCTACAAATCTTCAGTTTTGTATTGACCAAAATAAAGACATTTCAGCAAATTTTACATATGGGCATTTGCTCCCAATCACTTTCAGTTTTAAATTTGTACAGCTGTATTTAAAAAGTAAACTACCTTGTATTGACATCCTTCTCCCTATGCTCATCACTTCCATTGGTTCAAGGATAGAATTAAAGCATAAAAAGTTTGCGTAAGCAATTTTCATTTTAAACATTGATGTAGGAATTTGTAAAAATACAGATAGGGAATCCATTATTATAAAATGGGACAGAATTGCAGAAAGGGGTAAGGGGTCAGGGGGTGTGCAGTTGAGGTTGGTCAGTTTAGTAATTACCCAGGAGTTAGACTAGATTTTTAATCCTGTAATTTTTCCTGGGTAACTTTTGGCTTACATGAGACAGAACCCTCCAAATTCTCAAACTCTTATGCATCTTTCAGAGGTTTTGATAGTGAATTGCCCAGCAGAATCTTTATTTTCCAGGGCAATTCCCACCAGGTATGCTTCATGAGATTATGACATGCACTCCAGTCTGTGCTGTTCCAATACCAATTTCTACTTTCAAAGCTATGCCTTTCTGCCTCGGCTGAAACTCTTATCCATACTTTGTTATCTCTAGATGTGACCATTCTAATGAACGCATAGCTGGCCTTCAGTATTCTACTCTTCAGTAAATTGAGGTTGTAGTAATTGTGACGAGGTCAGCCTGGTGGACCGTACAGAATATGAGTTCCCTGATTGGGGATGTTAATCTGGTCCAATCAGGGAGCCTTGGCCGACAGATATAAACAGGAGTGTCAGAGGTTCTGTTCGCTCTGAGAGCTGGCTCTGAGGAAGCTGGATCAGTGTCAAGGACATTCCATATGTAAATAAAGGGTGACTTGGTGATGGGATATCGCCCTCTTTCACTGGCTGCGAGAGAAAAGCACGCTCCTGAAGAAATTTACTCACAATGGTCATTTTTGAGTCGGAGTAAGCATTTCTGGCATTACGTCTTTACTTGGGAAGCTTGACTCATTCAGTTAAGGAATATTATGACCCCCCAAGCCTCTTCTAATTCTGAGACATTATCGGTTATACTTGGAAATTCGAGAACCAGGGAAATATGTATCAGGAATTTTGACTAGGTTAAGATGACTAGCAGAGGCATGTGACTTTGGTTTAACCCTTAACAAGATGCTGAGAGACTGTTTGGTATGAGGGATTAATGATCTAACCATGCAAAAGCGCCAACAAACTGAAGCCCAGCTGGACTTCAAATAGACACTATAAACTGACTTTGTCATTGGAAAATGCAGCAAGTGGGCCATATGAGTTGCAGGCTATTCTGATGAAGTGGATCCCTTGCAGTCCAACTGA